TCAGTTCTGGTTTTGTTGGAGCAATTCACTTTATTCTGGCCACCGGCCGTGCAATAATTCTTAGCTCCCTTCTTTGCCCTTTTGTCCACCATGAAACGGTCGTCTTCAGAACCACCAACTACATCACTTCCTGTGTAAGATGAGAGATTTGAATGCGCGCAAAATGGACCCATTTCAGATTGTGAAATCCAAACTTCGAGCTTCAAAAACATTATACAGGAAAGTGCTTTTGGTCCGTTAAAATCGCTTAGCTGTGTTCATCCAGACATAAGCAAACAAACAGGGGAAAAAGAATTTTTACTCCATAAGCACTTTAACTCTCAAATGAGGTTAGTAAGGCTAATTTAAATGCATATGAAAGAATTTTTAATTGGCAGCTATGTATGAAAGAAGTCCTTTTTTGTTTTAGATTGTTTTCATCTATTGCATTATAATATCTCGTGTTTATTAAATCCTACTGTTTAAATCACAAGGTTTTGCACAGCTAATATAATTCATTTATTGTTAAAACCCCGTGTATACCCCCATATCCTCGGTGGCTTGTCAAGGCCCCAGAGGTTTTTGGCTGACTTATGCGATAAACACAAATCAGATTTTGGCCTTTTTTAAACAGTTTATTAGCAAGTAGATTATAGATTGAAGCACTCATCATTCATACAATTTTCACTCCAAAGTCCACTGTTTAGAAGGAAATTGTGATGTTGCTCTGCCTCGAAGAATTATCAAAACGTGGACTGTTATGCTTTTTGACACAGGCTATTAGTATTACAACTCACACATAGGCATGTATCATATGAACAGCGAAACTTAATTTTGTTTGTTTACAAATATAAATGAAAGTGATATGTTAAGTGATAGAGTACTAGAAGTTTTCAGTGGTCCTAACTCATATAACACTTCCTAAATAATTCAATAGTGACCAGTAAACAAAAAAGTTAACAATTTTTCATATAATGAATCTCAAAAACATAGCTACAAGAGTATGTACCCTACGAATCTTTAACAGCAATGCAATGCTTTAATACTACCTCCAGCAAGCATCATGATATAGAAGTGGAAGTCTTTCAGCGGTTCTTCTTGTTAAGCAATCTAGAAATCTGAGATTCTGTTGACAGTGTAACAGTTCTGTAATGTTACACTTTATGACTCACACTTGAGACACAACCATGCCCCCATAGGGGCATCTGTGAGACCCATGCAGGAAAGGTGAAACCACTGGATGGTGCATTCACTGTATTCGCACGACAACATCAGTCCAAATTCTGCTGGATTGCACAGGCAATACTGCTCAGGTTCCTCTATAAAATAAGCAAAAACGAGAAGTCAGTCGTATGTCAAGTGCCATAAACCCCCTAAAAGGCAAATAGCAATTATTAATCGATCGTTACCACTGTACCACTTTACATCATTACCACCCTTATCTTAATATGGCTCATGTCATTAACTGATAGAAGTCTTTTAACACCTACCATTACAGTGTGGGCAATACCAAGAGAACACTGGGCTGTGCAATAGTCCCGTGCAAGCAAAGTGGGACCATTTAATTGGACAATGAGGCCCTTCGCATGGAAGCATGTTCCCATGCTCTAACACGCGACACCAGCACCCCACATCCTTGTCTGGAACAGCCTCGTCACCTGTGAACAAAATTAAATACCTTATTAAAAAATCGTATTTTGCATTTGTCAACAAAATGAATATGAATTAGTTTAAGGTTAGTCAAAAGACTGATAATTACTCTTTGTTTTCTTTTTTTTCTTGCCCTTGTTGTTGTAGTTGTTGGCATCTTTTTTGGTGTCAATGCTGCCTTCTTAGCCCCTTCCTTTCGTCGTTCAGCAGTAAGTCTTAAGAGGCTGTCCGCCTAAGAACGGATAAGGCAAATTTCGGACCTTCACAGATTTCCCTAATTTTTACTGTAAAAGTCGAGACTTGTATCCCATGAACAAATATTGCGTTTATTTTAAACCAGTCTGGTCTTTTCACTTTTTACGAGATATTTTTCAAGGTTACCTCAAAGGCACCCAGTTTCCCCCCCGGACCTCCGTAATTTAGCTACAAAAGTCGATCGCTGCTGTAGCCGTATTTTCAATTCTAACGAGCTTTCTATTTCATATGTCTAAGATCAACCTTTTGCCATTTCGTTAACGGTAAAATAATCACACTGTATATATTTTTCACTGAGTTACAAATTTTTCAAAATACTTACCTCGAGCATTGAAATTTGTGATGCGTGAGGTACATGTGGTTGAAAGCTATTTTCTCTTATGTGGGACCTAATCTCGAGTCAAATCTATTACAGCCTATAAGCACTTACACCTAATAAGTAAATTATGGAATAGAACTTTTGGGCACTCTTCATGGCGCACCGCAGAGAGCTTTGCGAATTTAACAAATATTCGCCATTTTGATCGAAACCAAAGATAACGCGATCCGCACATGAATCCGATTTCTAAGCCCTAACGGCCTAAAATAGTCTCCTTCGCAGCCGTTTTTAGGCTCGTCACGCAACGCTCCTCCCCACGAACGGCTGCTTCTTTTTGAACTGCATTCCTTTCCCTTTGTTGGTCTAAGAGAAGACTAACCAATCAGATCCCAATGCTTGTTTTCAATTGAACCAATCAAAAGTCAGCTAAATATTTTCCCGCGAAGAAACTTGACATGTGTTAACTGGAATATTCAGACCAGAGGAATTTTGTGGTAGTCTTTAAAAATGGAAACTCCAAAGAAAGTCGTAGAGGCTGCAGATCGCTGCTTTATTTGTGCTACAGTTGTACCAAAGAAACATAAGTTGTATATTTTCGGAAAATCGTCGATTGACTTTTGCGAAATTATCAACTCCGCACTAAATGTGAATGTGCAAAATTACTCAGCAAGCGACCAGTTATTCATCTGCAGAGCGCAGTGCTACCAAAGATTGACAAAATTTAAGCGTGCAATAGACAATCTTAACAAGGCTAAAGTTGAATTAGAGGAGGTTTTTAAAGTGAACGTTCATCGCACGAAGAGACTGAGATGTCAAGAGGAGGAAGGGGAAGACATCGAGAAAGAGATGGATGGACAGCTAGGACAATCTGCCAGTGGAAAAGTCGTAAAAGTACTCAACTTTTCCACTGACGCTACCACTTTTACTTCTTCGCCCGGAGTTTCACCCTTCGTCTCATCAGATAACCAGCATTGCGCCTGGAAATTCCCATCGCCAAATCAGAGCGGTGGCGAATTGCTCAAATGCACGTTTATGAATACCATCGCTCATAGTCACAAAGTTGTCACCTCCACTCCGAGAAAGTCACCAAGAAACTGTGAAGGGAATGGGGAAACTTCTTGCGTAAAGCTGTCAATCAGTTATCCCAGTAAAAATGTGAATAAATCACTTCATGGTGGTTATCAACTGATTGGAAAGGCACTAGTTCACGGCATACCCTCTAGAGTCGCTTGTGCTGTCATGAACTGTCAACCCGTTCGCAAGCACATTCTAGAAAAAACATTGGGGTCTTTAAGGAGAGAAGTTTTGGGGCTTTGCTCGAAAAAGAATCCTTCGTTACTTCGAAAGTCTAACAAGGATGGCCTAACAGAATTCGATCTGAAGCGCGTGTGTGAAGAATGGAAAGTCAGAGCTCCATTATTTTATTCATTTTTGATGATTTCCGCCACCAATAAAAGAACAAAGGCTTCTTCGTGGTTTGGGAGCGTTGCTGTGGCTGGGTCGGTACTTCTCAAGCAAAGAAGTGAGAAAATGGATGCCACTTCTTCCGTTCTTGGTATTATGTTGAAAACTAAGTCAATCGAGGTATGTCTTATTTAACTAAGAAGTTATATTCATTCACAATCTACATCCTGTAATCCCTCAAAAAACAAATCACCCAGTAAAATGCATCATAGTTCTATTCTTTCCTTTTTGCCTTCAGTCAATAAACAAAGTTAAAAAGTAGTTGTTCGCACTGTGCAAGCTTGCACACTCCACAATCGAACAAGTTGAAAACCAGTTTGATTAAAATAACTACAGCTGTATGTGAGCAAAGTGGTGAAAAATTTCTTTAAATTATTTTTTAAGAGGTGTGGAAAGTGTGCCAAACAACAGTTTGGAAAAATCTAAACCTACTTTAATCGAACTTTTAGTGAGCTTATTTGGTGTGAATGAGGTTCATATTGCAAACACTAGGTGTGCACAATGCAGAAACTGCATTGTGCACACCAACTATTTATACATTTATTTCTTCCCAATGTATTTTAGATAAATTTGAATTACTAAAACCTTGGTTTTTGTTGTTTTGGAAGGCATCCATCTCCAGGCTGAACAAGCTGAAATTAACTAATTCAAATAGTAACATTCTCAAGAAACTCGATACTCTTGGAAAAGATCATGATGCTCGTCTCACTAAAACAAAGCAGAGGATTACCAAAGAGAATAGTATATTAATGGATGCCAAAGAAAAGTGTGATAGTATGGCAAATAGTCACAGTACCCATGCTGCCTGTTCAGCCTCGTGCCAGAAGGAGGTTGATGCCGCGAGGAAGGAGGTTGATGAGTTGAAGAAGGCATGTCATCCTGGCTTTGTTATTTCCTTTGATAACATTGATGTCCATGTGCAACGTCGAAATATGACAATGGACTCACAAAACCATGACTTCCATTGGATAAATCATCAAATGATCGAAAACAGGGTGTCAGGTGCAACGTTGAATTCTACTGAGCCTAAAAACTACCTGCCAAATGTCTCCAATCTTCAGTTCATTCCAACACTTGAAGATCAACAACGTTGATCGTATTTTGACGTCTCGTATTCTGGTGGAATACTTCCAAGCCCTTTCTCCCCTAGCTGAGGCATGCATCCAGCACATCCCCCATAAGCACTCCCAAGCAATGTCACAAAAGACAAAAAGGGTAACTGGAGCTTTGTTATTTTTTAAATGAAATAGCAAGGAGTACAAATACATAAAATTATAATGCTGATTTCCAAAACTCCCATGTATGTCTACACAAAGTGTATTCATTTGCATTCAATAACAAATCACCTTGAAAACTGTTAATTGATCACATTGTAACCCTTTGCAACCCGATCTCAGCATTTTCTCCACATTGTCCTCCAAAATTATGTTTCTTATCGTATTGATTGAAAAGATATGTTCAAACAGCAAGACATTTCATCTTTGCTGATCATTTCATCCACTCTCATTACTTCTATGTTTGATCAGGAATAGATGTTGCCAAGAGAAATGAGATTCTGATTACTGTTGATGCCTAATGGGTGACTTCAGTTACTCTTGAATATAACAAAAATGATAGACAAAATAATAGTTATTGTTTATGTCCTGCTTCATCAGTTTTATGCAAGCAATACTTTTAAGAGATTCAACACGATTAGATTTATCCTACAATCTTCTTTTTTTAGACACCACTGGGCTTAATTTTCAAAAATGAGAATGTCAACGAGGATATGGTGGAAATTTTGAAACAATTCCACTCATACCTCCCCCAGACTGATGATCAGGGTGTTGATGGGCAATTCTTCTCAGGAGACCAGTTAACTGTTGAGAGAGCAGTAAATGTTATTGCATCAGTAGCCAATGGCTTCACTTCAAAGGACAGGCTGGAAGGCATAAATATGCAACTGGGAGACTGGCATGCAGCTGTAAAATTGTTAAGTGTGAGTACAGTATTATTTACATACCAGTTTAATGACATGGAATTTGTCATAGCCTTTAAGCCTCAATAGTGAACAACATGCAATTTTTCCTAATTATGTCACTACTTGGCCACATNAAAAATATTCCTTAACTAGACTTTTTCTTTTCCTTTTGAGAATCTCAGTTCTTTTATTTATTTACTTATTTATCTGTTTTTTGTTTGTTTGTTTGTTTGATTTTTTTAAATTTTATTTTATTTTACCTTTAAGTCTGTTGGTTTGAGAGTATTTGCTCTTCTGCTGCTTGTGGTCTCAACCTCGGAGGGAAGACATATTAACGGAAGAGAGAAAGCCGTAGAGGCGGAAGTCGGCATTAAAACCTTCACATGGGACGATGTAGAAGATTACTACCCTGAAATCCACTGAGAACATGATAACGAAAAATACGAAGAAGATTCATCAAACGAAGCACGTGAAAATGCATCATGCACATTATGCTCGATTGTAAATCAAAAAATGATTAGTTATACTAATTCTATTATTAGAGAAAAGATATGTCACTCGCACCACGATTGCGTGTGCATTTATGAAACGAAAGAAGACAGTTATGAAATGCTATGCGTAGGGTGTAAAAGAGCAGGGTTAAAGTAACAGAGAGACGCAAACCGCGCTAAAAGTGTGTTTAGTTAGGAACTATACCATTTAATGTGCCTGCCATGGACAAAACGTACTTAATAAAGTATGAATACCTGAGGTCTACAGATTTATTTGAATACAGTACAAGTACTTTTAGAGTTAATCGTTAAAACTAATAGTGCTCAAACACTAATGGTTTGTGCGTAAGAACACTTTAAAAGAATTAAGGTAATTGGTTTTCCCAACTTTTTACAAGAACTCTTTTACGACGACTTCCGTTCGCTCTTCTTGCTTCTTTGGAACCGACTCCAACGAATCTTTCTGAAACTACCTTTATTTTGAAGCTTAAAAATTCATGCGAGCGATATAGGTTCTGGTCAAAGCTATCGCAGTGAACGTAGCATATGCTGTCTGTTTGCCTTATGATACGGCATAGCTGCTTCTAAATTGGTAAACCACCGTCCATATTAACAAATACAAGAAATCATTCTAACTGGATGTTCAAAAGAAGTTCAAACGCTCGGTATTAATCAGTCATTACTTATACTCGAGTTTAGCTCTGAACATAAGTGAACCTTAGCCGACTACTTTCCATTCTAAAACAGGAATTATATGCTGTTGTTTTTTGTATCCTCAACAACAGTCGATAGCGTTCTCATGTCAATGGGCAAACCTGTATGCTAACTGTACACATTGGAAAAAAAGAACAGGTCGCCATTGGCGCAGAAACAAGTGTTACATACATCTGATTAACATTCACAGCCACGTTAAAATTCATAATGGCTTACATTAACTTCAGACACTACTTATAATCCAAGAATGCACCCCTACGTTGTGAGGTGCAGGTTAATTAGGTGATCTCCCCTAAGCCTATTGACACTCAACCAGTTTGGCCCTCTTGCTATTCTGGTTACCCAGCTACAGCTTTTGTCTATTCACCAATTCAATTTGCTATATATTTTTGAATTTACAAGAAAGTTAGAATACAAATAAATGTAGCTGTTCCTGTTGCGTATCGAAAATGCTTGCTTTCATAATGGTTCGATAATTTTCTAGTTAACCAGCGACCTTTAAACATTTAATCAATTTTTTCTCCCAATTTACTTTTTCAAGTGATTTTGGATAATCTATATAACTCCTGTTTTGTAGTTCTTTGGGAAGTTTATTTCTGTCAACATCATCAAGTTTGATGACAACCAAGCTATCATCGTTTTTTTCCATGAGTCGGTGGAGGGCGTAGTCCAGCTCAGACCCGCAATAGTTACTGTTGTAAAAATTAGTAGAAACAACAGCCACCGTTTTCTTGGATTTGTAGACGCTGTCAACCATATTTTGCCGAATGGGTATTCCAAGAGTGAAATCTCTGTAGTGTACACAACACTTTAACTGATGCTTTTCCTCAAGAATCGGAAGAAGGGTTTTCACCACCCATTCTGAGTCGTGGGAACTGTATATAATGAATGCGTCAAACTCAAATTTCAGACCTGAAAATTTAATTAACTTTTGTCACTCTTTTTTACTTAGAGTGTGCGAAGAATTCACAAGTTCTTTCCCTCCGAAGGGTTTACATCAGCTTGTGCAAGCATTCGATGAATAGAGGCTGGTGCAGAGAAAGTGTCGAGGATTTTTCTTAAGTTTGAGTCTGTTTTCGTGGAAAAGACAAAAGTATTTTCAATTATAACTTTTACTGGCCCTTTGCTTTTCTGAGGATGGCCTGAAACAAGGTTTGTTTAAACTTTGTGTATACGTAATTATATAAGATTTTGGTCCCAGGTTCGCCTTGAAAATTCAAACTATAGTTGCATGCAGATATGCTGGTTGTTTTTGTTAATAATCGTTTGTCAACCCGGTTTAATTAATGTTTTTTCCGTGGAATTTAAATACATTATACATCAATACTGTAACAATAATTACTTACCTTTCAAAGGATTTACAATCTTAGTATGACTGTAATATTTACGTCGGCGGTAGTACATAAAACCCAATAACAAAACCAAAGCAAATACTAACGACGCAACAAAGACAGCTGTAAGAATCGCAATGGTCTGGTTATCTAAAGGGATCAAAAAAGATAGTCTGAAAATTAAAACACTGGCAAGTGATGAGCTATAATTTACAACCGACTCGAGCAACCAGTAGAAATACAGCTACATATGGGCCGATGAGCAGGGAACAACAAACTCGGTTCAGAGAATACATTCGGGTAATCTTGAATTTATTGAAGATTGAGAAGACAACTTGGCGGTGAGGATGTTTCAGTTAGAGTGGAATTAAAACCTCAAGAATACCGAGCCCGTCTAATGTTAGATTGTCGCCCAAGCAAACTACAGTTCCCCATTCGAACAGACGGACGTACAGTCATAACGTTACACTCAATGTTTAGCTTTAGCTTAATAGTCTACTATTTTTCAAATGGTCTGGGGGCTTCGTCGATGCTGTGCCGTAAAATTGCTGGTCTGCAACAAAAGATTGTATTCCTGTATTCCAAATGTTCCAACATTAAG